TTTTATTTATACATTTATCGATTTGTCTTATTATAAATAACGTATTATTTACATACAATTATGTACCGTATTATTACGATTTCCTCTTAATTCTAGAATTCGTCTTATCGTAAATTTGTAAATATCTGTACCTATGGGTAAATAATATTTTACGATGAAATAATTTCATTTAATGTGGGATAACTGAAATATTCTTTTTAACTGTAATCCTAATATTCTAACATACACGCACTTTTTAAAAGTATATACAATGTCAAATAAATATATATATATTATATTATGCAAGTTTTCATAACACAACACCTTCATAAAAACTAAATTGCGTTTCGTACTTATTCAAATTACGTCTAGACTTGTTTTTATAATGCTTGTTACTTGCAATTCAATTCATTTTTTCTTTGAGTGTGTGTATGTATAGAAATGTATTCATAATATAATACATTTTTATATGATACTCGTGATARTTTATTTCTAGCATTGATTTTATTGTAAACACTTTTAAGTAAATTTATTATTGAAACAAATAGTTTGATAATTTTTTTTAAAAATTTAAAAATACAATTTACACAGTTAAATTAATTTTTAAATAAAAATCGTTCATCAAACATTAAGTACATAGGTACCTACTCTAAATTGTTAGAAAATATACAAAAATATATTTCATGTACTATGATTTAAAAACTTTAAAAATAATGTATTGATTAAATGCCAATTGGCTGTTATATTATTTAAATTATGTATGACATAGGTAGGTTCTATTATTATAAAAGTAAAAATCTATAACCATCCGTGTAATATTAAGAAATAATAATACTAACGACTCAAAAATCATTCATGTAAGCATGCGATTCTTTGAAAATAAAAAATTASTTATTGAATAATAAATAAGGCAAATAGCATAATTGTGTTACGTATAAAGTTCTCTAAATATTATTTCGTATTATTTTAAGCAAAAGCATGTTTCTTTTATATCGGAATAAAACGCATATAACGTTATTTATCAATGTATGATTGGTAGAATTAGTAGCATTGTAGAAATATAATGGTAAAATTATTAATTTGTTTTTATTAATACAAATTTAATAAATTTAAAATCCCTAAATAATTTATAACGATACCTATTACAGTTACTAGTTAGCAATAATGACTGAATACGGAATTATCTGGAGTCACAACTTTATATTAGTGGCACATTATAGATATATTGTCCGATCGAACACGACTAAACGAGAAGTGGTAATACCGAGAAAGAGATGTCACAGAAGGAATTTTTATTTCTACCGACCACAAAATTTAATAATGAAACCAACATCAGTACTTCTAGTTTAATTTTCTTTAATTGTATTAATTTACTTAAGAGTAATTTGGATCATTTAGTTTAATACGCTCAATAATTAAAACCAATGCAAGAATGTTGAGAACAACTACGTGAACGCCATACCTACATAATAATACGACAAGGATAACAAAACCCTCCACGAGTCACCTTAAAGCGATAAATAATGTAATAAAGTTTCGTATAATATGTCTTTGCACAACCTCCATCAGTAAAATCTTATAATATCTTGTGAAATCTCTTTCGAAATCCACTACTCGAGAAATCGCTGTAAAGATATAGATATACCAACTAATGGTTTAATGTTTATGAATTTGGTATTTTTTTTTTCTAAATCATATCATAAATTCCATTTTATTTCAATTTGTTTTATTTTTACGAGTTAAGTATAAACTAAAGTCATATCACAAGAGTATATCTATAA